AATGGATAAAAATATCTTCAGTTATCCTTATTTAAAATAAGATTCAAAATTTATAATTAAATATATCACAATTAAAAATTAAAAATCAAAATAAAATAAATTTCAAACTATAGAGATCGTTAATATAATTTGTCAAACAATGTATATATAATACCATTTCAAAAGTGTGTTCACAGCTCATCTCATCTCGTCTCATCTCATAGACAATCCATTTATAAGTAAACTAGTAGTTAAAAGTAAGCTAGTAGGTTGGAGATCCCCATGAACTTGGCGTTGAACATTGGCATATGGGTTAGAGGATTACGTGAAGTTACAAGTCAGATTATTTAAAAATATAAAAAAATTAACTACAGAATTATTAAAAATTTATAATTATAATTATTAATATTAATAAAAACTTTCACTGATCAGTAAATATTTTTATAGAAATACACTCCTGTGTAGTTTTTTTAGGACTAATAAGGGAGGGAGAGTACTTAATTCACGAGTTTCAAAAAAAGAAGTTATTAAAGTAGTGTGAATTTTAATAAATACTGATGACTGGTGATTTGATTTCGAATTTTGAAACAAAAAATATTTTAATATTTTACATTTCCATCCTATTACAATAATATTAATGTAATTATAGTGAGGGAAAGATAACTGTATTCGTACCTTGTAATCTTTTGAGTAGAATGAAAAATATAGTAATTATGAACGTAATCTTTATTTTAGAATAAACCAGGTCAATCATTATGTTTTGTTTGTGTGTTTGATTTTTTGTGTCTTGTTTTTATTTTTATTTGTATTTTCACGTCTCATTGATCCTGTATCAATTCTTAACAAAAGTTGGCGTCATTGTTCCTAAATTGAGAGAAATTATTCAATATTTTCTGAATAAATTTAGGTGGTGTTCCAAATAACAGTTATTGATTAATATCATTAGATCTATCACTTTTGAGTTGGAATTCTGATAGATAATGTGTTATGTGTAGGAGTGTAAAAATAGTCCGCGACTCGTGGGCTGTTCGAAACCCGCTCGTGGCCCCGAGTGAGCCTGGCCCGTTTTAACCGCGTCTGGGCTTGGGCCCAAGTTCGGCCCGAGACCCTGAACCCAGGCATGATTCATCATTTTGAAGTCCAACCCGACCCGACCCATTGGCGCAGTCAAGGCTCAACCCAAGACCTAGTGTCTTTTTTAGTAGAAATTAATAAAATTTTGGTAGAAAAAATAATAAAAAAATTGTTCAGGCCTGCTCAAGCCCAGGCCCACTGGACTGCCTTAAGGCTCAACCCACCGGCCCGCCCAAGTCCCGAATACCCTGGGATTAGGTCCAATTTCCTAACCCGTGGATCGGCTCAACCCGAATTTTAACGGGAACCCACGAGACCCGACATGGGCCGAGCCAAGCCAAATTTACACTCTTGTTATGTGTCAATGTGTAAATGGAATGAAACATTATTCCAATAAAATTAAATTTTTTTTTTTGTAGATCAGAGAGATTCAAACTAGACAACTATGCATAAATGAAAAGTTCTCGAGCACATAATATAGTGATGTGAGATTAAATATTTGTAATTATAAATATAAAAATTAATTTTGAACCATATTTGTCTCTCATTTGAAGAAATTCTTTTTGTGCACATAAAACAACTGTGGAGAAATTATCTCATAAATTCCGGTCGATCCTGAGAAATATATCTACTCCACAACGGGTTGATTATGTACTTTTATTAATGTAATATAAATTATATAATAAAATTATTCATTGGAGTGGGTCATATTCAGATTGCCAAAGTGTGTATATATATATATTATAATTTGATATTTGACCCATTGGATCGATTAATCCGAGATATTAATTTCACGGTCTACTTGTAAGGATCCTAATTAAAGCTATGATAAAGCGTTATATGAACCGGCCACAACAAATTATTTACACTCCCAAACCCTATGCTTTGACCACCAGGCCAACCTCTTAAGGTTGATTGCAAAGTATGTTAGTTATTATTTTTTTAACAAAATTATTAGTTTGTATAATAGTTTTGTGGTTGGACTTATAACATAATAGTTTGGCTTTTTTCAAATATCATTTTAATTTAAGATAGCAATTGGATTTGGTAGGCTCATTTTGGAATCGATTCTGATGATCTAAACTATTCACTTTTTAGGCTCTGTTGAGTAGAATATTTATGCAAAAAATTAAGATGATTGGATATAGGTAGCTATACATTTAAATTATATTTGTTTTAGAAAAATAGATGACAAATATAGTTTTAAAAATGACCATCCATTTTTTTGTAATATAAATGTGATTCAAACATATAGTTACTGATATCTAATTATCTTAATTTTTTGCATAAATATTTTACTCAACGAATTTTAAAATGTGAACAATTCGTATTATCGAAACGAGATATATGGTAGACTCCACGGATCTTTTAAATTCTCTCATGTTGAGATTTGGACATGATAAAAGCCCAACTATAAGATAATTAATTTATAACTATAACTTAAGAGTGTGAGATTCGTTTAGGAAGTGACATTTTAGATTTTTGATTCAAATATAAGGTGAAACAAATTAAATTATTTGAAAATAATTTTTAAATTTTTTATAAAACGACCTATAAAAATAGAAATGATGAATTAATCTTTTTAATTTTTTGACCTTTTAATTAATTTAGTCACTTTCCAAATAGCCCCACCTTAGCTTTTTCACTTTAACACGTGATTAATTGCTAAAACATATGTAAATGTCCCTTTTGAATGTACACATTAACATTTGATCTACAACAGGGATGATTAACCTTAATTCCTTTTCTTTTTCGCTTTAGGAATAATCTCATTATTGTGGTTTAATTTGATATAATATTGGTCTTACAACTAATATTGAATGTGCTTTGACAAAATGGATTTCCTACCAACCATGCTATAAATTAAGGTTGTTGTCATCATTGTTGTTGCTCATGCAGCATAATAAGAAGCCAGTCATATAATTTGTTAGTTTATGAGAATTGGGTCATCCTTTCTCATGATCACTTTCATTGACCATCATCATCTTCCTCTTTTTCTCCCATAAATATGATTTTTCAGTAACTTTTCATTTCATTTATTATAACAATCATCATTTAGCCAGAAGAACTAGATTTTCACTAGGCCTGAACTCGTACTTTATGCGGTTTGGTCTGACCCAAATGAGGTTGGGCCTGAATTTTGGATTTGAAACCCGACTTAACTCGCAAGCCCAACACATTGGCCAATCTATTTTCCTTCCCATTGGGCCGACCCATGAGAAGTTGACTTGTCATACTGGCTAAATTATAAAAAAAAAAATAGGAAAAAAATTAAAAATACGGCTTTAATTGTAGCCCGTTGGGCTAAATTGCAAACTCGGCCCAACCCAAGCCCATTAGAAAAAGGTTTTTTATTGGCCGGTCCTACTTTTTATTGTTATTCCCCTCTTAGTTCTGAATATTGCTCTTGTGCACCAATAGGTCCTGGAGCCTTTTTTTGGTACCGTTTTACTCCTGTTTTGTTTTCTCTTGTGTTTGGCGCATTTCTGTTTGATTTTTTCCATCAAAATACTGTAATCACTACATGAAATGACTGTTTTGGCAACCAAAATATTGGTCACCAAAAGTCCCATTTTTGGTCGCCGAATCTAATTAGCGACTACATTTTTTTGTCACCAAGTTTGTCGCCTATACCCTGTCGGCAGCAGTATTGGCGACTAAACTATTATTGGTCGCCGAAAGTTAAACATTTGGCTACTAAACTTTGGTTAGTCGGGAAAGGTGATCTTTTGGTGACTAAATTATTGATCGCTGAAATTAAACTTTTGGCTACCAAACTTTGGTTATTCGGCAAAGGTATCCTTTGGTGACTAAAATATTAGTCGCCGAAAGTTCTCACATAAAACTAAATTAAACTATTAGAGACTAAAATTTTAGCCACTAATAGAATACGTACATTTAGCGACCAAACACTTTAGTCGCCAAAGGATGTCATGCTTTTAGTGACTAAAATATTTAGGCGGCAATTAAACTTCTCTCATTCTGATTTGTTTTAGCTACTATGTGGTTTGGTCGCAAAGAGCCATTTGGTTATTTTTTGCTACTAAATTATTGGTCACCAAAACATTTGCTTATATTTTTGGCTACCAACATATTTAGTCACCAAATACTATATTAATTTTTTTAAAAAAAATTTTTGAACCACCTGTATCCATTATTAGTGCAACCTGTACCCTGTATAAACAATATAATCCATCAATATTGAATATATTATCAACCATTCAACAACGTGCATACATTTCACTTCCAACCATCCAAAAAATTTATATTCAACGTCGAATTCTAAATGTAATACAAATTCCATACGAACCAAGTATAATCCAACCCCAATAATTTAATTCCATACATAATCGAGGATTAACCAAATTTAATATCCAAAAGGAAATCTATACCACACCAAAAAAAATTTCTGTACCGCCCCAAAAACTAATTTGTACCACGTCCAATGCTAATTTCTATTTGGCCAAATTTTGGATATTTATCACGCCAAAAAACTAATTTGTATGAACCACTATATATACGGACGGAAATATAAAAATAATGCCCTTCCGTACTTGCCAAAAAAGGTCATATCCACATTTGTATGTCAAAAACCATCTGCAAAAAAAAAAAAAAAAAAAAAAAAAAAAAAAAAAAAGAAAAAAAAATCATTAGTATTGACTAAATATTGGCCAATTTAAAATTATAAAAAAAAAATATAAAACTCGAAAAATTAAGTAATCTTTCCAAATTAATCATTAGTTTTGCATACTCGAATATATATGAAATAAAATTTTTGATGTTCAATCTGAGTACATTCAACATATGAATCTAGTTACTCTATTTGATGTTGCTAATAAATTGAATAAAAAAAAAAAATATAAAACTCGAAATTAAGTAATCTTTCCAAATTAATCATTAGTTTTGCATACTCGAATATATATGAAATAAAATTTTTGATGTTCAATCTGAGTACATTCAACATATGAATCTAGTTACTCTATTTGATGTTGCTAATAAATTGATGTTGCTATAAAAGTAATCCTAATAATAATTGGAAATTCAAACCCTTGAATCTAGTTGCTCTATTTAATGTTCAATCTGAGTACCTACAACATAGATTAATATATACATATTAGTCCTTCAAGAACTCATAATAACTGAAACATCAGTTAAAAAAAAACGTACCACAAACCCATATGTGCTACTCTCTATTGGCATTCCATAAATCATGAACCAAGCATCATTACAAATGCATCCCAAAACTTTGAATAATTGGATTTTAAGGTTTAATAGCAACACAAGGATATGAAACTAGTATGAAACTAGTATAGTCAAGTGTATGCCATAGATATAAGGAGAAGAAGCCTAAAACAGATACACAAAACAACAATCCTCATATTGATAACATCTGGGGCTACGCTTATAGCAATGAAATACAAGTGGTCAGATATGACAGTAAATCCCCCCCACCCCCACCCAACCTTAACTCTGTGGGTATACGGTACATGTGTTCATGGTGGTGCTGGTGGCATGGGGTGGGGCAAAGCCAATTATTCAAATACATGAAAATTTACAGATCGCAAAGTAGAAACTTACTCATTGCATCAGTTTTTACAAGATTACTTTCCTCATTGCTGTAATGATCAATGCCTGATTTTTTACTAGATATTTCTAGTTTGGTACAGAAGTCCTCGGTTTCACCATCCACCACTCTAGAATTATCCCTAGAAGTTCCATTACCATTCTCCTGCACAAAAATCAAAACATCCTCTTCTCAAATAAAAAAATATTAAAAAATGCTCAGTGCAAGCACTTCTGAATGCTGCTAAGGTACATAACAAGTAAAAAATAATCAAAAGATAAAATAGATATAAGAAGAATATGGTCCAACCCAAGTAAACTCAAATCTCCAAACTTTTAAGAATTGTAACACTAAATTCTCTAAACTTAAGAATTGTAAAATATTCCATTTTAGTTCAAACATAAAAGCGTGAGTAGCGTCTACCTACCAGAATTCTCTAGCCCACTATTCTATAAAGCACGAGCAGTGTCTACCTATCATATGAAATTTCCATGCAATTCAAAACATATTTATCATTCACACACTGCAGTAAACGAATTTCTCCACTTCATCGACTTTGCTTTAACTATATTAGCAATGTTCATAAATGGTCGATTCATGATAACAATGGCCACTTTAGCTGTTACCTAGGCATAATTTTCCACATTGTGATTCAATAATACCACATTATCCTTGTTCATCTTGTACCTCTATTCTCCTCTTCTTCAATGTGTAAGCAACCATGTTACTATGAGGCAGGCTTCACTACAAATACCATTCATATGAAATCAAGCAATGAGTAACCATTCATTTAATTTATTTCACATCTAAATCTTATCACAAAGAAGAGGAGAGCAAAGATTAGAGAAACGGTTAATCTGCACAGAAAGGGCTGTTTATACAAGTAACACTAACCTTGTTCTTGAATGACTTTTGTTGTCACCGTCTGCACTCACAATTTTATTGTCTAGCGAGGAGGGAAATTGTAGACCCAATTAGAAAATAACAAAACTATGAATACAAAATGTTATAAAAGAATAACTAAGAAAACAAAAGGTTGATGCCTGATTTGAAAATTACTAACACAATTAACAAGTATGCAAAATAAGTACCAGACATGTCTTTTGCCTCCAGAGTTCGAGCCAACTTTTCTACAGTGATGTAAATAAAATAACTGTACCAAGAAGGAATTATAGTATCCATCAACAAAATTTCATTTGGAAACTTATATACTTATAGGTACGATATTCCCCTAAAATTTATTTGATAGGTATACTTAACTTATATGCTTCACCAAATCCTAATTTATTTGCTTAGCTTAGCTACATGTCTTTTGCCTCCAGAGTTTGAGCCAACTTTTCTACAGTGATGTAAATAAAATAACTGTACGAAGAAGGAATTATAGTATCCATCAACAAAATTTCATTTGGAAACTTATATACTTATAGGTACGATATTCCCCTAAAATTTATTTGATAGGTATACTTAACTTATATGCTTCACCAAATCTAATTTATTTGCTTAGCTTAGCTTAATCAAGGTTACCTTAAGTACTTCACTAATTGTCCCATTAGCTTAATTAACCAAGCTTTAGTCCTAACCAATCATGCTTACTCCTTAATCCTTATTAGCCTAAATAAACTCTAGAGCTCTCTCTCTTTTTCTATATTCTTCTCTTTTGTTTTGTAGGAAATGTTGAGGTGTGTGTATGCATCACCAAGAATTAATTAGCTTAGTTAATCAATCTTAGTTATAATTAATCAAGGTTTAACTTAATCTTACTTAGCTTAATTAATCATGATTAAAGTTCACTAATTTTACTTAATTAACACTAATCCCGATTAGTAAAAACAATATAGCAGCAAAATCACAAGCACATTAGTCTAAAATATTTAAGCTCCTTGATTAGTGAATAGGGAAACTCAAAATTTACTAAATTCAACGTAGAAGTCCTTCCCTAACTCTCAATACAAGACATAAGGATTTCCATGTTCAAAGCTCTATATTAACATGTACTTTCAAACACATTCTCAAGTAATTATATTCTTTGGTTTGTCTTATCAAGGTGTGTTTCTCACTTTTAATTCTTAAGAAGTCTTAATTCAAGTAGACATATATCATAAGGCTGGGCTTAGGGTATTCAAGGATAAATAATAATATAGTTATATCACATTACATTCTTTGGGGTGTCACATTAAGTTTAAAACTTTCCTTCAATTCTACAATCTTCCTTTCAATCCCATCTTCTCTTTTTTCCGAGTGAGAGCTTTTGCTGCTTAGTTTTCCTTTTTTTCCTGATAGTATTGTTCATATACAATGCACTCTATTATAAATTACAATAGACGGTCACCATTTGAGGTGTAGTTGTTCAACACATTTGAAAAACTTGGCTGAAATTCTTAGGCTGTTGCATTATTCCCCTGCACATTTTTCATTTAACTGATGTGTGTGCTTGTGCTTTTTTGTTTGTAATTTAATAGTTATAATGTTATTATTTTAATTCTTCTATTTTATTTATTTATTTTTCTGTTTAAAAGTCATCACATATGATCCCTCTTTTCTGAATTATTAGGCTCCAATTTTGGTTGTGGCTTGTAACTGTGCTAATTATCTTGAATGGGCTCTCAAATGTATTCTAAAGTATGCTTAATATTTGTGAGCATTTTTTAATGCTCCTGATTAATTTGCTCATATTTCAATAAATAAATTTAAGGGTAAATTAACAATATCTCCTTATAATTTGCCTAATTACATATTAGCCTCTGTTTTTTATTTAATAATTACATCTTTTACTATTGGTGAATGAGGGATATTTCACAAGTACTTCCTACAAATTACGCCTTTCTTTCATTCCAGATCTAGTAAATTTCTAATTTCACAAGTACTTCCTAAAAATTATCCCTTTCTTAACAACCAAATCAAATATAATAAGAAGCCAACATTGAAGTTGTTCAACAACTATAAAGAATCAACATTTGAGCACAAAAAAACATAAAAAATGAATTCAATAACAAAAATATTGAACATTATCACTAACCTGTAAAGCAAAGAGCCTATCTTCAAACTGCATTTCTTTAGTCAGAAATCAGCTCCGATTATTGCCTTGCATTGATTGCTAAACTTCTTATTCACATATCTAAAAGCAAGTATTCAAGGCATACTGTTGGCTAAAATGTTGGCTTATTTTTCCTACGAAGGAAAATATCATAAATGCGAGCGTGCCAGCAAGGATTGAAAAATCCTTACAGATTAAATTCAAGCCAATTATCAAGCGATTGTGTTGACCATTGATTGCTAAACTTCTTATTCACATATCTAAAAGCAAGTATTCAAGGCAAACAATACCAAATCCACATAAATAAAAGTAGAAATATACTAAAACAAACACCGCTAAATTCAACAATTAAACTAATAAACAATCCACGAAGGATACTGATTCATCAAAGAGGTCTTTCCGACACTGCAATGCACAAAACAAACAAAACATATAATTAGATCGAGCTCCAGTTGAAGAAGTGGAAGAAGAACTTGAAGAGCTCTGATTGAATCTATACAGCAAAAGATCTAAGGCATATCTATACATCTCAAAACCCTAGAATTGAAGATCAACGGGGAGAGAGGGAGGGGAGAGGAGCAACGGAGAGGGAGAGGGAGAGGGAGAGAGGCGCTGAAGAGAGAGAGAGGGTGAAAGACATACTTGGGATAATGTTCCAATGGTGGATCGACGGAGGTACGACGGTGCGAGAGAGATCGTAGAAGAAGGAGAGGCGTGAGAGTGAGAGAGAGAAAGAGAAGCAGAGAAATTAGAGCTTATTTATTTAGCCAAAAACGGTAATGTTTTGCAAACCTACCCTTTTTTTTTCTTGACTAACAGATTTGGTCGCCAAAGACAGAATTTTAACTTTTTCCCGACTGAAAAATAGCTTCGTCGCCAATTAATTTAGGAACCCTTCAAAAATTCAAAATCCTCCCTCCAAAATTTTAATTAAAATTGTTAACTAAAACATTTAGTCGGTAAAAAATTTAGTTGTTCCAAAAAAAATTTTGGCGACCAAACTTTTGGTCGCCAAAAATAAAAAGTAAATTTTTATTTTTCATTCGGCGACTAAATAAGTTTAGTAGCCAACACTAACTATACAGCGACTAAAAAGTTTTTTAGTCGCCAATTGTGACATTTTTAGCAACTAAAAATTTTTTTAGTCGCCAATTGGTGCATTTTTAGCGGCCAAAAATTTTTTTAGTCGCCAATTGTGACATTTCTAGTGACTAAATTTTTTTTAGTCACCAATAACCAATATACCCCGACTAAAAAAAATTAGTAGCTAAATCATGTATTTTCGCTGACTAATATAATTTTTGGTTGCCAATTCCACAACTTTTGGCAACTAAATTTTTTTTAGTAGCCAAATTTGGTCGCCAAAAGTGTAATTTCTTGTAGTGAATGTGAGTTTGGGTTTGTGATTTGGATTTCTGTGGAATTTTGTGATTTGTTAATGCATTATTGTGGAATTTCGTGATTTGTGATTTTAAGGTTGGTGTATATTTGGCTTTTGCAATTTGTGATCTCGTGGAGAGAGCTCGATTTGTGATTTGGCTTTGTAAATTTGTGAATTTTTGGGTTTTTCGATTTCACGTTTGGTGTATAGTTAGATTTTGTGATTTACAATTTTGTGGAAGGAGCTCGATTGGTATGTTTGATTTTGATTTCAATTTCGATGTTTTGGTGTTTTTTTAGTTTGAGTTTGTGATTTTGATTTTATTTTTGTTTTGTGATATTGTTGTTATTTTGTTATTTCTGCAATTGAATTTGTATTTTGATCATGATATTGAAAGCTTTGAGATATGTATATGTAATGAATATTAGATTTTTTTTTTGGTTACAAAATTGTTTTGGTTGAACACAGGTGCTGGTTTATTATTTTCTACAGTAATAATATTATCACTGTGTATTTTGAGAGTGTTGTTGGATTAACCTTTTTCAACAGTGATAAATTTATTAGTGAGTATGGGAATAAGAGATGAAAAAGTTGCATAATGTAATGGCACTACAACAAAAAAGGGTTTTTATAGCACCCATTGCATGCTGTAAAAACCCTTCTATGACATGCAACATAACGTCATATTATGACTAGTTATGGAAAATCATTCACTTTCAACGGCATGCCATAGTACGTCGTTAAAAACTATTTAACAACAAATTTTGTGTGTCGTTTTTACTTTTCTACCACTACTTTTGCATGCCGTAGAATATGTAATACAATGACTTGCTCAACCTGCCGTAGATAAGAACATACCACGACGTTCATTGCTAGTCGTTGAATATTCAATACATTAACCTATTTTGCCTTTCGTATATAGTCTAAGTTCCATAACATTTTTTGCATGCCGTAGAATATGTATATTTAAAATCAGCAGGTTTTATTTCACCTGTACAATATAAGAAAACATTACAAACATATATATATATATATATATATATATTAATCAACCACCAAAATATTGTTTCAAACATAAAAAAAACTATTTGTAAGCTTCAAACATCCAAAAATTGTCTGTACATTACAAACCATTTAAAAACTATGTTTCTAAACATCAAAAATTGTCCTCAATTTCAAAACTGTCCAAAAATTCTAAATCATCCAAATAAATAAATAATTCAATCTTGCTAACCTGAAGTGGGTTATAAAGTGACATGTAGTTAACTAAACACTTTATGTTATATGGTAAATCAAGCTTTCAGCCGTTAGTGAAGCTCATGGAGAACAAACAATAAAGTTAACACATCACCTCACTATCAGATTCCGAATGCTCATCCCTTTGTACATAATCAGCTCCCAAGCTCACATCATCGTCTTGAATGCCATCATTTTCATCCTCACAAGGATCAAGCACACTCTTAACCTGCACAATTTCCAATTGCAAAACTCAAAATTTGAACAAGGGATCCAAGTGTCTTACTGTTAGTGGAGAAATAAGTGAAAAATGAGGCATCAAGAGACAACGTGAATCTAATCTGAGAATGGATGCATAAAAGACATATGCAATGAACACAACATTACTTTTGAGGTTATTATAAACATATAATTAAAAGCAGCACATGACAATAGTAGTGGCCACAAAGGGTTCCAGAAATGAGAGTTCAGTTCACTTAAAGATCACACATTTAGACCTCTATAATAAATCACAGAAGAAGAAGAAGAAGAAGAAGAAGAAGAAGAAGAACAGTTTGAGGATATTCCACAATATAATAATAATTTTTTAACAGATAAAAAAAGAGAGTACAAATTAAGCTAAAAGTTGTAACATACAATCAACCAGAGCAGGTAAATAGCCAATTCAGTTGACTTTGAGTCTTTGAAAATCTTGCAATTTCTCTCAATCCAAACATAGTAAATAGAGCAGGTAAACACAAGTTTAGAGATAGCGGCAGCCAAAGAACTACCCTTGATATTACTGGTTAACCAATCTACTAAACCTGTCCAATTTAATTGAGGAACATTTAGATTGCACATGTCCTGCATAAATTTCCAAACTCTGTAGGAGAATGAACAATTAAAAGACAAATGGTTATGATCTCCAGTCCTAGTACCACACTGACAGCAAGCAGCAGAGTTCCTAGTACCAAATAAAACAAGCTTATCAAGAGTGTTCAGCTTATCAAGGATCAAGTCTTCTATTTTCCATAGTCCTATTTTATATTTACGTTAGTTTTTATATATATAAATATAAGTAATATATTTATGTTATGGTTAGGGTTAGGGTAGTGCTAATGAGTTTACTCAATGTTTTATAATGTCTTATCGATAAGGGGTATATGCATAATTTAAATTTTTTCTATACATGAGTGGTAGCATGTGTGGTTGCCTTTGCAATCTAGATAAAGTAATGTTGTATTGTTTGCAAATACATTTTAGTTCAATTTAAATGGGTTGTAGAAGTCAAACTCTTAGTTTTGAAATTTGGGAACCATAGTCTAAGGTTTGTAATTTCTAGAAATTTGTACCAAGTTATGTAATGCTTCTAGTTCGATGGAGAACATACTTCATAGAATTTTATAAAGCTCCAATGAGGTTGTTTACTGTAATTTTGATCCTAAGAGTGATGTCTATAGACTCACTTAGTACATATATAAGTATTGCACCCTTAGTAAAATAGGAAATGATTGGTTCCTGAGATTTTTAAGAAATGATTGTGTTAGGTTTTTGTTCTTGGCAATCCTGTTTAACAAAACTCCTTTCAGTTGTAATCTTATTCGTTCTTTTAATTCAGTGGGGCTATGAGTATTTAGATGCGAATCCCACCGAAATTGTGCCTATGCAGAGGAGTTTGAGATCCTAATCCTATCATGTTGCCACTTCGCTGACTATGTGGGGGATCGAGCAGCCATTCCTGCGCTCGAGCAAAGATCGTGACTTTTAAGAAGTTTCAATTGCCTGTAAAAGTACTGGGAGTTTTTTTTTCGCTTGAGCGACCATTCCTGCACACAAGTGTAGACCTTGTTTTGTCATACGTGTTTTAGTCGGTCCGCTCGAGCGGCCATTCTTGCGCTCGAGCGGAGATCGTGGATTTGTTTGCTATAAAAGCTGCGGTTTAGTCAGGTTTTAGGGTGCGGGTTCCAGATCTTCTTCTTGGGTATTAGGGTTTTCTTCTGGAGCTTCTTTGCTTGTTTCCTTTGACATCTGTGAGAGTTTAATCATGAATTGAGTGGATTACATCAAAGGGTTTGTTTAGTTTGTTTTATTCACAAAAGAGAGAGTCGTTCTTCGGTGGATTCCGTGGAACTTGAGCCTGAAGCTTTGGCAGATTCCGAAGAGGCTCATTGTCGTGGATTCGACATCGGCATTGTAGATTCAACGTTGGGCAAGACAATTCCGAGGTGAAGACGGGGCTGGAATAGGCACATAGGGGTTGATTTGATTCGGGTGTGGATTTGCTAGGTAATTAAGAGTACACTTGTGTAATTATTTTATGTCTTCTTAGTGGATTGTTTTGTAGCATTGGCCCGCGGTTTCTTTTATCACAATTGGAGGCGCTCCAATTGTGATTTTTCCATGTTAAAATCGTTGTGTTGATTTGTCTTTGATTGTTTGTTTGGGATTGTTATTTACTGATTAAAATTGATAAATAATCACAAATCAATATCTCGGGAATTTTTAGATTTTCTAGATTGTTTACTACTCAAATAGAGGGTATTGATATCTATAAGCATGGAAAAGGTGCCTTTCTGTATACTGATGTAACAACCTTGTGCTTTTTTTCACTGCATAAAAGCAACCGTCAATTCTCTTCAAGACTTTGAAAACACAACTGAAGTTTCCATTACCAATTTGCTGGAAACAAACAAATTATCAGAAAATTACACGAGTGCCAAAAGCCTGAAAATGTGGATTATATGTACAAATATTGCATCTACAAAACCTAAGAATTTGCTACAAATTGAAATGTACCTCAATTTCATGAAAATCTGTCCAGTAGCGTCAAAGGCCATCTCTACCAACAGTGGTAAGAAAAATACCTACAGAGTGAAGCTTGATAAGGTTAGGACATAAAAGTCAATGAAATAAGGACTCTGACAAAACAACAAAACCATATTGAATCCTACCTACCCTTGCCCCCCTAAAGTCCTTTTCATAATTTTGTCAATGGAAAGTAACTTGAAAATAAATGGCCTATGGTTTAGGATATAAAGCATGTCTTTGGCTTACTATATTCTCCTAAAAGTTGCATAATATGAGATGGCAAGTCTGGCCTATTTTCTAAAAACATGACTTCCCAATGCTAAAATAGTAGCTAGATTATATCATTTTAAAAAGTATAGGATTATTATATAAACAATACCCAGAACAATAATGGATATTTTGCAATGCCATTTCAAGAAAAAGTTCCCTAAATAGAGAAAAAAAATTTAAAGAACCCACCAAGCTTGTACCTGCACACTTTGACATTTGATTGCTGAAAAGATCTATATCAGTTTCTGAAAAGGTTGGTAAGCCATAGAATATGAAAGAAGGTCACTATTAATCTAGTCATTCTTGAACCAAGCTCCAGTAGTTCAGCACATTCTACAGCTTTAATAACAACACAGTCACATCATTAATAAACATGGGATAAGGGGACAAAAAATTAATTTTTTTTAAACATGATAGTTAGGGTGGGGAGGGTCATGGTCAAGGAGAGGGAAATTCCCCATTATGTGTAGCCCATCAAAATTCAACCAAAAAGAAAAAGAAAGATAACTCCATATCAGCAAATAACATTACATTTGTAAATTTTTTTGCATATTGGATTTTTAACTGTAGAACTTCATGTGTGAACTAATCGATATAATCACAACAGTTATACAATGCAAGTAAAATTCACTGTATTGCTAATTGCAGAAATGAATGACTAAAAAATGAAAAGAAATAGGGAACACTTGCCTCCAACAAAAACCCATCAAGTGATAGCCCTTCCATAGTCACAGACTGGGTGAACTGCACACACCTTAGAATCAAGTATCCAATGAGAAGAAATGTGAAATCCTATTCATTTCAAGAAGATGCCAAGTGAAACAAATTTAACAAATATGTGTAGTATAGTATAGCAATCACCAAGAGATTACATTCATCCATCAAGGATGCCTAAAGAATTACATCTAATACTTCTAAACAAGCTGTTTAGATTTCTTGCAAACCGAATCACAAAACATCTTGGAATAACTAGTTTGAATTCTCTAAACCAAAAATCAAAATTTATTCAGATCAAAACTCCAACTTAACGTCAATTAAATAATCAATAGTCATTCACAATCAAACAAGTTACAAATAATAGTTAAGTACGTTACCTTGAGACTAATAAACCCACAGAGGGCCTCGAATTCTGTTAGTGCCAAAGCCATTTCAGGCTTATGATTATCAACCTTGAAGACATCAGGCAGAGTCTTGTGCAGAAACCCAGCAAATTCCTTATCAGGATGGGCCTGTATTGACAATGCCTTTGAAACTAAAAGTACCTAACACATTCCAAATAATCAAAAATCTATTCAATCACTTTAATACACAAACCATGAAATTCATAATCAAAGCAAAAAAACCAAAGTGTTTTTACCTTGAACGAGAAAGGAAGAGCAACGCCCCATTTCTAATAACCTTATCGCCAAGAACACCAGGGACTTTGGCAATCCACGAGTTCAAACTCAAACCCACATAGTCTGAACAAATCGACACCTTATTATTGAAGCTTTGGAGGATGAAGAAGGGTCTAGACTTGTGAATGCCCATCCAGAACTCAGCGTAAGGCTTGGCTTCGTCTACATCGACCCTAGAATTTAGAGAAAACAGCCTCGTAACACACGATTGACAGCCGAATCGACCCCAATCGTAGTCCTGCATCGAACATCTCAGTCTCTGCGCCCTCCTCTTTTGACTCGCCAAACCATTAGCCTCCATCAACATCATACAAGAAAAACCCCTTCCGTAGTGCAAGAAGAAACTCTTTCCGTAAATTGTGACTGTACCATTGTCATCAACGAGATATTGAAACCCTAGAAATTTAGGAATTTCTAGAGAGATGGCAAAGCTTCTCACATCGACCCATTATAGCTGAATAATTTTTTCCACTTTTAAAAATTACTTTTGTCTTTGGTTTAACAATTAAAAAGATTGAAAACTTGGTTGCCCTTCTCTCAGTGGATGTATATGTTCTTTTTTTAATATATATTTCTTTTTTTGGTGAATTGGTGCCAAAAAATTTCATTTGGCAATTTTTTTTTTAACATACAATTCACGACATGTAGTGTGCATCGTAAAAAGGCAATAGTTTTAACGGCAGGTGATGTGTGCGTTGTAAAAAGTGCAATAGTTTTAACGGCGGCCGTTGTGTACACTGTGAAAAGTGCAATACTTTTCATGGTTGGCGTATGTGTATCGTGTATAGTTGATATATTAACGGCATGCCATATGCATGTCATAGAAAGTTTTATTATTTACGGCAAACATTGCAAGCCATAAAAAAATCATTATTATTACCATTCACGGCCTATACAATAGGCACGCCATGGTTGGAAAATTATTTATGACGTGCAAAAAAAGCAAGTCGTAAAGGTGAGAAACTACGGCGTGCATTTATTGTATGTCATTAATGTGGTGCCGTAAAAACTCCGTTTTGTTATAGTGTGGTAAGATTCAAATCGAGTTACCATGCCTAATAAGTGTAAGCCTTATTCAGCGTTTCATTCTTTTGGTCTTGTAGTAGTGTTAACTGTTAAATTTATCACTGTTGGTTTTTGGATCTGACATGCCATATGCATGTCATAGAAAGTTTTATTATTTACGGCAAACATTGCAAGCCGTAAAAAAATCATTATTATTACCATTCACGGCCTATACAATAGGCACGCCATGGTTGGAAAATTATTTATGACGTGCAAAAAAAGCAAGTCGTAAAGGTGAGAAACTACGGCGTGCATTTATTGTATGTCATTAATGTGGTGCCGTAAAAACTCCGTTTTGTTATAGTGTGGTAAGATTCAAATCGAGTTACCATGCCTAATAAGTGTAAGCCTTATTCAGCATTTCATTCTTTTGGTCTTGTAGTAGTGTTAACTGTTAAATTTATCACTGTTGGTTTTTGGATCTGTTTGAGTTGGTTGATAATTTTATCACTGTATTAGATTTTTTTTTAGGTTGTTTGAGTTGTTTGCTGAAATATAATTGTTGTTTGTTGCAGGATTTATAGTGATGGAGAATTCTTTGTTTCTTATGTGCAAGTTTAGAGGTGTGACATTGGTTATCAAGTATAATACTAGATTTAATTTCAAAGATTTAGTATATAAATTGTGTGCAAAGTGGAGTGAGTTAGTTGATAGTTCTTTAAATATATCGTATTCAATGCTTGGACATTCTTGTTGTGGTCTACAAAGTGAAGAGGATTTGGAGGTTATGGTTGGACTCGCACTTTCTTGTAAGATTCATCGTATTGATGTTTTTGTTAAGTGTTATTCTTTGGGTGAAGGTTATATGATTTGTGATGGTGAAACCAGTAGTAGTAGTAGTAGTAGTAGTAGTAGTAGTAGTGTTGTTGTTTGTAAAACTGATTTTTTGCCTTCATTTTATTCAAATCAACGGAAACCTTTGCTCTCCGATGGGTTGGCTAATTGTATAAAAAGAGTGGGACAAAGGTTTGCTCAAGGAGTTGTTGAATTTCAAGATGTGTTGTCAAAGTATTCTATTCATTTCGGTTTTGATTTTGATTTTGTTAAGAATGATAAGGATCATGTCACTATTCATTGTAAGAGAAGGATTGATTTGGGATGTTTATAGAGCGTGCATGCTAGAGTGGAAAATTCTAATAAAGTTTTTGTTATTAAACAATCCGATGATGTTCATACATGTGGATCTTCTTTTCGTATAGTTAAACATGCTAGGATGACTTCGAGTATGATTGGTGGGCTAATTTCAAGTGAGGTTCGTAATAAGGCTTTGACATCGGTCGGTTAGTGAGGTGGTTTGTGATTTCAATGACTTTTATGGAATAGAAGTTTCTTATCGATGAGCTTGGATAGGTGTTGAAAAAGCAAGGGGTGTTGTTTTTGGTGAGTATTCATCATCATTTGACGATATTCATTGGTATGTTGATGCCGTTAATGATGCTAATCTGGGGAGTATTTTTTATATGGAATTTGATGTTGATAGTAAATGAAGACATTTCAAATGCTTTTTTTCACTTTTGAGGCATGTATTCATGGTTTGAAGTATTGTTGGATAGTGTTGATGCTTTATGGAACTTTCTTGAAATGAAGACACAAAGGTTGTTTATTGGCTGCTACGACAAAAGATGATAACCAAGGTATAGACACCCCATTTTTGACCGTCCTCAAGACTTGGACGTCATCGTTTGAACACTCGATGATCATCTATGCTCGTGTTCGTTTTGAGCTCGTAAAGGTCTCGGCTGCACACCTTGCCTTAGGATCTCTCAACTTGTCTGTTTTGTGCTTGGTTGTGGACCAAGGACTTGTGGTTTTGTTTCTGAGGGAAGAGGGTGGCTTGTTTGCCATCCCCTCAACCCACCGGCCAAGGCTTGAAGCCATCGACTTTGTTTTCTTTCCATCGGCCAAAAGTGTTGGTTGGTTGGCACTTTTGTTGGTCGGCCGGCCATTATTTTGGTTGATCAGCCATATTTTCTGGCCGAGGCCTTTTCTTTGCCTTTTTTAGGCATTGTGCATGCCAGCTGTGCCAGCTGGTGAGCACAGTCCCTCCCCTCCATACACGTGTATGGAGGGATTTGAACCAATGCTTAGCTTCTCTAAGAAGCTTTGAACTTGATTTCCTATAAGAGGGGAGCCTCCCCTCCGTTTCTAGAGGTTCAGTAAAACAGATATAGAGTTCATATATCCCTCTATCTCTATATCTCTCTCTCTCTATATTTGTGTGTGTGTTTGTGACCTAAAGTGTATTTTGTTCATACTTTTGCACTATAGCACCTAGTAAAACACCTTCCTTTGGTTGCTGAGGCACTAGGAAGTTGGTTTCAAAGTTCTTGGACTGGTTTTGATCTAAGGGAGTGGCTGGAGTTGTGTTCTTGAAGGTGTTCTTCAAGGGTGAGCAACTAACCTTTTGTTTTCCTATTTTGGCTTAAGCTTTTAGACCTATTTGCGTATAGTTTTAAGCTTAACTATAAACTAAAAAAAGTTCTGATTTTGTATGCTTTAGATGATTGTTTAAGGTCACTTTTTAATTGGGGGTTGTCTCCCCCCTCTTAGGCCTTGTTTGGCCTTGTTTTGAGCCATCTCTTTTGGCCTTTGTTCTTGCCTTTGCATGACCTTTCTACCACTGAAATCCAGAGGATTTTCAGTGGTGGAAAGGTGGTTTTAGTGTCTTGTATAGGAGAGGGACACCCCTCTCTCCTTGTGTCTCATTTGCTTGTGTTAATGGCTTGTAATGGTAGCATGTTTGCTTAGCATGTTTTGGCTTCATTTCAGCAAGTATTTGGTGTCATTTGGTCATGATATACCTCTGTTCTAGGTTGGTTTAATGGCTTCTTGTATGCACCATATACTTGCCTTGTAACCCTCTCTATTGCCTTAACATGCTTTGTGCTTTAAGCTATGGTTTTAGTGTGATTTTGAATCGACCCAAAGGAGCTTTTGTTCATATTTCAGCATGTTAAAGCTTTGTTTCATGTTGTTTTGATCATGCATGCATTACTTCGTATAGCTGCCATACATTCTAGCTTGTTAGCTTTGAGGGTCCAAGTCTTAGCATGCACTACTTGGACTATTTTTCATGATTTGGCGTCATCTAATATGTTATTTCAGTCCATGTTTCATGCTCATGTACTTGCATTTGCCATCCTTTCAAAGCTTTGAAGAGTTGTTGTTTTATGCCTCATGAATGGACCATTGTGCATGCCTCCATGATTAGGTCTTTGTGATGCCATCTAAGTGGGTTTTTGGGCCTATTTTGACATGCCATATCTCTGTTTTTCATTGGTTAACTCATGCCATGTTTGGTTATAATGGGTGTAGTGTAATCCCTTTTGTTGGCCTTACTTGCATCTTGCCTTCGGCCCTTCATTTTGGCTTGTTTTAGCTTTGGCCCTTGCATGTTTTAGACTCCCTTTAGCATGATCTAGGACTGTTTTGGTTGTCCTTGGCTCTTTGGAGCTTGTTTCATGTGGCCTTAGTACAAGCTCCTTGGCTAGCCTTAAGCTTTGAGCTTTCTTACATGTCATACTTGCTTTGATTGGTTAATTTGGCATCACTCCTCACATCATTTCAGAGCATGTAGTATTGTCGTACATCCTTGCTTGTCACTCTTTAGGTGTGCTTAAGAGTTGCATCTTTATGCTTTAGTCCTTGGGCCAATTGGCATGCATGTTTGCCATGCTTTTTTCATGCGTCATTTCCATCATTTCTTGGCATTTTGGCCACTGATTTTGGGCATGGCTGAGCTCTGTCTGTCTTTAGTTTAAGTTCATTTGCCATGTTGTTCGAAGTTGCTACTCTACATCATGCTTGCATGTTTGTCCATCTTTACATGCCATGCATGTTCGTAGGATTATGGTTGCATTTTGCATGCTTGCTAGCTCACATTTTGTCACATGCTTGTTTAGGTCGCATTGTATTTGGCATGCTTGTTACTTTAGCCTTGTGTACATGTTTGAGTCATATTGCATTTGGCGTGCTTATGATGCATTATATAGCTTTTTCATTGTTGCATACATTGCATTATGTTTGGTTTGGGGTGTTAAATCAAACACGAGGACCGAGAGACGTTCGTTCTTGAATTTACGAAACGTGCCTCAATCCTCGGTCGCCAACACTCTTGATCCAACATGATAGAGTTCTAGGCATTCATGTGTTTTTGTGCATTCATTCCATATTGAATCGCACACTTGGCTCGTTTGGCCATCATCCATCGACATGCATGATTGATGGCCCGAGGGTCGAGCACTACACTCCCTTGAGCTCATGACATGATAGGGAGGGTGTTTGTGCACACATTGCCTTGAAAATGCATTGCCATGCTCTGTTTGCCCTCTGCTGCAGCAAAACAGTATTTTGCAGGAAGATATGGCCGACCGGCCATCTTCAGTGCCGATCGGCTAAACATTGTTGGCCGATATCCTC